GGGTTTAGGGTTTAGGGTCTACAGATTTAGGGTTTAGGGTTTGGGGTCTTTTGGGTGCAAGGGGGAGCCTCCTTGAATCGGGCTTGGGGTCAAGGGTTCTTCATGCTTCTTCGCAAGTTGTGTAGACGGGCTAGCTTCGATGTGGTTTCACACCCTCCGCTAGGAGTTGCAAGTTCTCCCTCATAGCTTGGAAGTTCGCAGAATCCAATTGGGCGTGCAGCTGCCTCTTTTCATCTGCATAAGTTCGATTGGGATCGACATCGAAGAAGCTTCAGACCATTAACCACCAACTTGTGGCCGTTAGAGATGCTACTCGTGGCCGCCGATGTCGCAAAAGTCTGCTCCGTTTCGATTTTGCAAGGACAGCTTGTCGACTGGCCACGGGGAAAAAGCTGCTTCGCGTGCATCCTTTTTAGTTGACTTCAGGCAAACCGAATCTGATAACACCTCTTCCAACAACTCCCCGTGTGCACAGTATGAAGAGTGCCTTCTGCTAGCTGTTTCCTTTCAGATCCCTGAACCCTTTCACTCGACTGAAATCCTTGACCACGTCGGAAACCTGAATCCATATATCTTGCAAACTTTTACCATTTAAACCTTAGCCTTCGCACCTGAAGGCTGAAGCCTCACATCCCTGACACAGGCCTAGGGCAGTGCCGGAAAGATTGAAATTGTCAACGGCCCCTAAACTTTGCCCTAAACCCGAAATCGCTTCCCGTTGATACGACGATCAGTAAGAACAGCGAAAACAATACACTTAGTCGCTTTCCTCTTTTTCACTGTCCAGGAAGCCTCCGCCCCTTCATCGCAGGTACGGAGCAAGCCGTGTATTAACCACCAACGGAAGGGACAACTGCCTGCGCCCCACTCAGCCGCTTGCCGAGCCGGGATACGCCTGGGCTCTTGGATGCTCTTGGTTCCCAAACTTTCAAGCCCGGCCACATGCTTGGCAACGAAGGAAAGGCCGAGAGGCATGATGCGAACGTATGTGAGAACTTTTAACTACCTTCCGAGATGGCCCCTGCCCTCCAAGCGGTAACTGGACGGAGCTGTGGGCCGTGCACACAGCATAGCACTGAAGCTCAGGCGAGCCCGCACCGATGCAGGCGAGTGCAACAGGTACCGGGAGTACACCGCCTCTGGCAGAGGCGAACTGCACGGGTCTCTGAAAAGACATCGGGCTGAACATTTCACTTCGAGATTAATTCTGAGCCTACACCTCCCCGGTGCCCGCTCATCCCGCTCAACCCGCTCTCTCCTCTCGGCTCGTTTTGGCGGCCCCGGCCCGGAGGAGCGCCTCGCTGCTCCGCCGCTGCGTCAAACAGACGCGACCTCCCGGCAGCAGGCGCTCGCATCCGCAAACTCCGCAAACCGCGGGGTCCGAACGAATCTCCAGCCACTCCAGCATGGGCAGCACCTTGCGTGAGAGAGGTGCAGAGCAGCAGGATGCAGCAGGGCTCAAGGGGGTGAGCCAAGAAGGTGCCTGATCCAGGAGCGCAGGGAGCTCTGTGTCGGCTTTCTGCATGGCTCTTCAAGCACCGGCCATGGACTGCTTCATGTGCGCGGACGGTCTGACACATGACTTGAAAAGTCGGGCGTGCTGATGCGTGCTGGCTGTCTTGAGACTGTTGCAGGATTGATTCAGCAGACATCTAGCCTGCATATGCCTGCATCTCAGTGGCCCTCATCGTGGAAAAGTGTTTTGCCGGTTTGCTGCAAGAAACCTCCATCATCCCCCCCAGCAGAAATGGTGCTCGAAGCGGCCTCTTTTTCCACGCTTGGCCGCGTCCAGCCGTGCTCTGACGGGAGCTCCTGAGCCCAAAGAAAGGCCGGTGCGCAGACTTCAGAGCTTCGAAGGCAAAACCCAGGGCCCAGGGCCCCCGGCTCAGGCGGGGAGCGGTGCCTTGGCTCTCGAGCCGGAGCCGGGGGACTCTCTTTTGATGGCGTCTGCGTAGGGAGCAGTCCCCTTGTGTCTGAGTCTCTTTGATTGCGTCTGCGTGGGGCATGCTTCCGCATGCTGCTAGCGCTTTTCGAGGCTTCTCTCCCTCCGCCCCGGATTGAGGCTCGAGCGGGCAGGGGGATGGGTGCCGGGGCTTCCAGCACGTTCGGCTTCTGACCTTGCCGGTTCGGAAACGAGATGCTCGGATTCGGAATCGGGACTGGCTGAGCCATGCACTGGAGGGCAAGCTCTTCTTGAACTCCTGCAAAACACAGGAGAAGCGGCAAAAAAGGAGCGAAGAGGGGCAGCGCCCACGGGAAGGAGCGGGGACTCCTCGTACTCGTCGGGAAGCTCGGAGTCCGACTCAAAGAAGAGGTAGGACAAAGTGATGTGGTCCACGTGGTCAAAGCGACTGGGCCCATGCAGGCTGACATGGGTCCTCTCTCCTACGTCGAACCAAAGCTTCGCTGGGGAGGTCGCTTGTCACGCCCCATCATCGGGTCCTTGGATCAGGGCTCTTCGGGATCTTCCGCACAGAACTCGTGAGGTTTAGGAAGCACTTCATGAGACTTCCAGCTTTGGTCGATGCGACAGCACTCAGTACGTTGAACTCGTCTCTGTAAGCCACCCCGACCACACCGTCAGTCGAGTCGCAATGAAGAAGAAGATCGGTAGGTCGACCTCTTCACCTGGATGCCACGCGCTGCAGCAAGTCCAGCAGAGGCTGAGCTACGTCCGACTGAACTTTCTGTGTCAGGGGCGAGCGGCCTGGATTGATCAGCTGCTCGTCAAAGCAGAAACACTGGATCCTTGTGACGGGCCAGAGCTGCGCTTCAGGGCTCTTGAAGCTGCAAAGAAACTCGGGCAGGTATTGGGTGCAACACTAGGACAGTGCCCGCAGACGCGCAGAAACAGGGGAGCTACGACTGCTGGCTGCGAAGTCCACAGGTGCTGCGGCCCCGAACCAACTTGTGCTTCACCTACCAACACCTGGATTGTCATCGATACCGAGAAGTTAAGGACTCATGAGCGAAGACACTACTTCTCAAAGCGAGACATCAGGCCAAGTGAGATGGACGTCCAGCGTCCTAACAAAAGATGCATCGAATGAGTAAGCCTAACTGCTGGCACCGGAGACGTGGAAAGAAACCAAAAACTCTTTGCGCCACGACGCTTGTTGAAGTAGAGTCCCGCCTCCCAGGTCGAGCAATGAAGCGGAAGTGCCAAGGAGTCATGGCTTCGCGGCTTCGACTCAAGTACAAGAGCTCTGGACTCGGTTTAGGGTTTAGGGGTTCAGGGGTTTAGCGTCTAGGGTTTAGGCTTTGAGCAGCCGCTCCGAATCTGGCTCTGCTGAAAGCTTCCGCCTCTGCAGGAATCATGTGGTACACGGACACGCCGATAATTGGCCGATCGCTGGTGTTCCTCACATAAGCAAGATCCGGCAAGAAGGAACTCCCAAGTTGGTTCGTGAAGTCCCGAATCGACTTGTCACGGTATAGGATTGGTCCACCAAGCTTGCAGCAGAACGCAGGAACCCACGCACTTGAATGGCAGTGATGCTCGGCTCCGCACTTGGCACGGTAGAAGGCTAGCGCAGTCTCCTCGTAGGCGGAGGACGGAGGAAGACGGAGGACGACATGTGGAGACGCGCCGGTTGGCCAGTAGAGGCTACTCCAATCGTAGTCGACAACTTAGTAAAAACTATGTGAAATCCAGCTAGGGCTAGCGAGTAGTCCCATCCCGTG